GGGGGGCGCACTTAAAGGGGCCGCGCCTGGGGGGGAGGTCTTAAAGGGGCCGCGCTTGGGGGGGGGTCTTAAAGGGGCCCCTTTTCCGCGCACCTCCGCGGCCTTCCCCTGCACCGCTGCGGGCAGCTTGGTGGGCATCTGCTCCGCGCCCCGCTGCTGGCCTTCCCACCAGCAGGGCCGCACAGCTGCCCTCATCCCAGGGACACATCGCCATCTGTCCCATCATCCATCTGTCCCTCCGTCCAACCCTCCACCCCTCCATCCATCGCCCCAACCCTTCATCCTTTGCTCCATCCATCTGTCCCTCCATCCAACCCTCATCCCTCTGTCCATCCCTTGATCTCTCCATCCATTCATCCCTCTCTCCATCCAACCCTCCATCCCTCACTCCATCCAACCCTTCATCCAATCTGTCCATCCCTCCATTCCTCCCTCCATCTGTCCATCCAATCAACCCTCCATCCATTCATCTGTCCATCCATCCCTCCCTCAATCCCTCCATCCCATCCTTCCATCTGTCCATCCAATCAACCCTCCATCCCTCCATCCATTCATCCGTCCATCCATCCCTCCATTAACATGTCCATCCATCCCTCTCAGTCCCTCCATCCCATCCTTCCATCTGTCCATCCAATCAACCCTCCATCCATTCATCTGTCCATCCATCCCTCCCTCAGTCCCTCCATCCCATCCTTCCATCTGTCCATCCAATCAACCCTCCATCCATTCATCTGTCCATCCATCCCTCCCTCAGTCCCTCCATCCCATCCTTCCATCTGTCCATCCAATCAACCCTCCATCCATTCATCCGTCCATCCATTCATCCGTCCATCCAACCCTCCATCAACATGTCCATCCATCCCTCTCAGTCCCTCCATCCCATCCTTCCATCTGTCCATCCAATCAACCCTCCATCCATTCATCTGTCCATCCATCCCTCCCTCAGTCCTTCCATCCCATCCTTCCATCTGTCCATCCAATCAACCCTCCATCCATTCATCTGTCCATCCATCCCTCCATTCTTCCCTCCCTCCATCAATATGTCCATCCATCCCTCTCTCAGTCCCTCCATCCCATCCTTCCATTTGTCCATCCAATCAACCCTCCATCCCCTCATTTGTGCGCCGAGCTCGACAGGCCTCATGATGCTCCCAGAGGCCCTTTCCCCCCTGCCCCGACTCCTCCGTCTCTCTTGCCCGTCCATAGCCGTGCAGACCTCGGCCACCTCTGCTGCGTCCGTCCTGCCGCGTGCCAGAGGATGGATCAAAGACCCACTTGACAGCAGCTATTAACACCTGCTCCTTTTTCCTTCCCTGCTCCCATTAATGCTTTCCCAGTCTCCCTGCAGCGGGGAGGACGGCAACGGGGTGCTACGGAGCCGATGGAGATCCCGCGAGATCCCCGGCGGCTGCCCGGACAGAGGATGGCGATGCATTGAGGTTTTCCTGAGCGCCGCGGGTTAAAGGGAACCTGCTGCCGCCCGGATCAGGGTCCCGCACCCCGCCAAGGAGAGCGTGAGGATGCGCCCAGCCATGCTATGCTGATGCTTTTCATCTCCAAAGCGCTTTGCAAACATTAACTAATTAATTCTAATTAACTCATTACCTAATTATAAGCAAACAGGCCCTCCCCCTTGCAGGGGGGAGGAAGGGCAATTAATGCACTGTCACTTTTTAACTTAAACGCTCCCCGTCGCCCCTGAACACCCGTCCCAGTGCCTGCTCTGCACCCCTGTGTCTCCCGGGGGCTTTGCCACGTGGTCTGGGGCCACGTGGGGAGGCTGGTGGCCCAATGTCTCTTAGCCTTGCTGTGGATCCAGCCTAGAAACCCACTTTGCGCCTCCGGGGCTGAAGGGTTTGTTTGAGGGATGCCAAACCGGAGCTGGAGCATCCGACCACGGATCGCTCCCGGCCTCTGAGCAATGCCCTAGGAGCGGGTGAGTCACCGGCGGCGCCCGCTGCACAGCGCTGGTTTTCGTGCGCGGGGCTGCAGAGAGGAGCTGGTCCCACGCAGCTTTGCACCACGTCAAGCACAACCGCGCGTCGCTTAACGGTTGGGACCGGCTCGAAACGTTGTCCTTCCCTGAACGCCACGTATCTCCCCTACGAATCCCGGAGCTGGCCAGGGGACCGCACCGATTAGCGAACGAGCGTTTTTCACGCATCCGCCCCTGGTAGCACGGGGGGCCTGGCCTCCGGGCGTCGCGGAGGCGCGGGGTGCCCACCCTTGCCGCTCACGTGGCCGCCCGCGAGTCACTGCCTGCTAACTGGCATGTCGTCCCGCTGGTTGGGAAATACCTTGTAACAACGCTGCACCGACTTGTCCCAGGTCTCAAAACTGCCCGCTGTAAACTCTCCGTCTCTTGAAGGGCCTGGCGAATGCTTGCGCGGTTTTTCATTCCCGATGAATTGTCTGACTCATGGCAGGGAAGATGTCGTCTTTTCCGTTGAATTGAGTTCGGGTCTGAGCACGACCTCCTGTTTTGGGGGTCCGTAACCGCACAAATCACAAGGGAACCGGCCGCACCGGAAGCAGCGAATGTCGTACGCGTCTGCCCTCTTCTTACTCACTACCTTCTGGCGTGTGCTCTGGGGTTTTGACCAGCATCTCCACCTCAGCCCTGTTTTACCGAAGCAGACAGATTTCTTGCAAAGAAAAGGAGAAAAAAAACATGCAGTTGGTACGGAGAAGTTTCAGAGAGAGGCATTTCCCAAAAGATTTCCTGCTCGGCGCCCGCTGCTCCTGCGGGTAGGGGCAGAGAGCAAGCGACTTTGGGACGCGGGGCCGCCGACCACCCGAACGGCGCAACCTGAGCTCTGACCGCCGCGAAACCGGCACGACGCCACGGGGACTCAACGCGGACAAAGCTCTTCTGCCGCGTCGTTCCCTCCGACCCCTTCTCCGCGAATATCTCCTTTTGTCGCCGATGCAAACGGGGGGGGGGGGATTTTACGAACCGAAGGCACCGCGACGCACAGACTTGGCGCGGGGAGCGGGGGCAGCGCCGGCGACGGGGGAACCTCTCCAGCGGCTTTGCCCTCCGTACGTTTCCTTTGCGAGCTTCGCGCTGCCACGGGAAAGAAACGCATCCGTGACTCGATCCCCTCCTGCCCTTACAGACACGCAGAGAAAGGCAAAAGGCACTGCCATTTCCCGCGCTAACAGGCCAACTTTTGGTGCAGGAGCCGAGAGAGCAGGTGTAGCAGGGCCTCCAGCCTGCAGAAATACCCGCAGAGGTGATTTATGGCGAGGGAGGCATCTCTGCTTTGAGCACGCCCCTGCCTTCCTTTCCTTTTAATTGCGGTTGGATCTACCCTGGGGGCAAAAGAGCCTTTGAACATCTCTCTTTTTTTTTTTTTTGCACGTGAGGTTTGCAGCCAGCTCGATTTCCTCTCGGCATTTCCATGTTGCAGCCCTTTTTGCTCAGGACAAGCGAGGCGGTGAGGCCTCGGCAGGGAGAAGGGCACGGTCTCTCCTACCACCTGGTCCTCGCCGGCATTGCCGCCCGGGAGGCTGGGCGGGCAGGAACGACAGCATACCAACCCCAGGCGCTGGCTGCGCCCTGCGCCCAGGCTCCCCACCGCCTCCTCCACGCCTCCCCAGGAAAGGGGCCCGTTTCCCACAGCCAGGCACGGTGGATGCGGCGCTGGGGGGAAAAGATCGAATCTGCTGCGTGCACGGTTGGGAGAGCCCCAGAGCATCAAATAGCGCAGCTCGTGCGAAACGAGCTGCGCCAGGCACGCTCTCAGGAGGCATCTGCTCACCCTCTTCTTGAAGCCCTCCACGGACAGGGACACCCCGGCTCTTGAGCGAACCATGCCCCATCTTTCCGCTGCAGATTGCGCTTGGCCTCCCGACAGTCGGGAACAGCCTAAGAAGATGCAGAGGTTCAAAACCACCGCAGTTTCACAATCACGGCACAAACTTCCAGCAGCCAAAACCCCCCGGCCCCGCGGATGGAAGTGAAAGCAGTGATAAGAGAGGAAAATACACCTAGGGAGGAGAAAGAAGAGGAACTCGGCAGCAACGGGCTGCCAGGGGACACCGGTGGCCTAGGGCCCGCAGAAAGGCTCCAAAACGTGCCCGTCTCTCCTGGCTAGGGTGCGAACGAAATTTCCACCCCGACACCGCAGCAGGAGGACGTTAAATAGCAACTGCTAGGTGTAAACATCTGAAAAAATCAGATAAAGGGGGAGTTTTCAAGAAGTTGGCTCAGGAGCTCGGTTGAGTCACTGAGAGCTGGTAATTAACGGATCTGGGGACGTTCCAAGATGGGAAAAACGTCGTTTAAAGGGGGGATGGGGTGAATGGGTGATCCCAGGCCAGTTAGCTCGAGGGGGATCCTCAAGAAACACTGATATGGGACACGAGCAGATCTGAGAGAGGAGCTCACGCAGGCAATGGCAGCACGTCTTGCCTAGCACCATCGCCTCGGCCACGAACCGTTTGGGGTCTGCGCGCCCCACCGCTCGGCAGGGCCGTTACAGATGGATTCGCGGCCCACGGCTCAGTGGGTCAGCCCTTTAAATAAAGGGCATGCAAAAATAGGGAAACTGAGGCATTTCCAGCACTGTTTCCTTGCACAGGCTACAGATCAAGAGGAAAAACTAGCCCTTTCCCTCCAAAGAGTTTCCTACCCTCTCGCACCCATCCGAAGTGAAATCCAGCCCCGTCCTGGAAATCTTTGGTGTAGCCAAGAGCCGTGCCCACGCTTTGGAGGGACGGGTCGGAAGCTTGTCCTGTGCCTGCACCCCCCAAACAGCGAAAAGTCCTGCCTCGCTTGTGCCGAGCTCCTCTGATCCCTAAGAAACTGCCACCTGTCCTGCTCATCACGACCCAGGGACCTCACGTAGGACCGGGGAGCTCGGAGCCGCTTGGAACAAGAGGGGCGTAAAGCGTGATCTCGTTTTCCTCCTACTCCAGCTGCTCTGGCGGAGCTGTGGGAACAGCTAGAGAGGGGGGAAAGAAGATGAAAGGCAGCGTGGGAACTCAGCTGCTTTGCTCTCTTCTGCAATAAAACACAGGCCCTCCAACTCCTCCAGCCCAGCTTGAGATGCAAAGGGGGAGAGGAACTTCTCTGTGCTTACTCGGAGAGATGTGTTTCAAAGCAGAGACAATCAGGTGTAAAAAAAAAAAAAAAAAATAAAAAGCACTGGGCCCAAAGGACTGAGGCCCAGAGGTGCAAAAATAGGCTGCAATGCCTGAATCCTGTGGGATGCAACACCCCTAAAGCTCCCTGGCAGCGGTCTCACCGAAAGGTTCAACGCTCGCCAGTCCAGGTGGGCTCTGGGGACTGTTCCACAAGAGGCTGGATGCCGCGTGAACCTCTGCCAGTAAGAGAGGTCCAATCTGGAAATCGAAGGATGCAACAGTCGTGGCCATTCCTTGCTCTCCACCCCAAAATCTGCAGTGTTGCTCAGTAAAGCGGCATGGTTTGCTAATCGGAGGTCTTTGTGGCAGCTCCTAGTTACCCTCTCTCCCTGTTCCTGGTCCCTCGTCCTCAGCAGCCTCCCCGCGCCGATTCCTCCTGCTCCCACCGCACAGAGTGGCCGGCAGCGCTGGGGGTCCTGGCATGCAAGGCTGGCGTCTGCGGGGCTGGTTTTCCCAGCTCCCAGAGTGAGGTGATGAGGAGAGAAACTTGGGGCTCACCTTCTGCTTTTTATCGTCTTTCCCGTCCCCTCCGCTCTGCTCACGAAGGACTCTGAAGCCCGGCGAGCGTGACCCACTGGAGAGAGGCCAGGGGAAGGCAGCGATATCAACCAGGAGCCGAGAAAACTTGGCCTGTGCGGAAGGGGCTGAAGGATTGGATTTGTTTAGTCTAGAGAAGAGCAGGCTGAGGGGAGACATAATAACAGGCTCCAAGTATGTGAGAGGTTGTTGCAGAGAGGAAGGGAATAAAGCGCGCCCGGGCCCACCGGGAGAAGTCACTGCAGGCGTCGCGGGGGGCATTTTGGCCTCCCCAGCCCACCCATTCAGCACATCCCTCTCTTTTCCATCACGGGGGTTTTCCCCGCCAAGTCCCATCCTCTGTGATGGAGCATTTTGGGAAACCTGGAAAGCATGAAAAAAGCCCAGAGCTGGTTTTGCTTTTGGGTTTTTTTTTTTTCTTAACTGTACCATCACTGGAAATTTGTGAGAAACCCTCTCAGTTTGCTGGAACCAAACTCTGGGTGCTGCTCCACGATAGAGAATTGGCTCCTGCATGATTTAGCGAGCACATAGGGACAAGCAACTTGAGGTGGAAATAATACACGACTGCGTTACAAAAGTGGCCGAAGGACGCCTTCCCGTTTTACTGCAATGCTGGGGCATGTTTTGTGCCCGTCAACCTCTCTCTCTAAAATGGGAAGAAATGTTTGCATTGCAATTATTTCTTGAAAAAAAGAAAGCAAGCATTGATACGGTGAAGGAGAAAGGCAGCGAGTATCTGCAGGGCTTGAAAACTTGGCTGCAGGAACTGAAATAATGATGCGGACGTAGAAGAAACTGACAATTTGAGGAAATAAGCTCGGGAATTACTGCGATGAGCTGGGTCCAACTCTGTTCCCAATGGGGGCTGATGGGTCGGCGTCAGCCCCTGCTCAAATCCCTGCTGA